AAAATTCACCAGAGTAAAAAGCATCTTTTCCATTTTCCCATGTGTCCTGACATCAAAATATTGGGGGGGGGGGGGAGGAACCATCTTGTATTTCTCAATTCTTAATTTTAGGAAAGGGTAGAAATATCAGAACAATTTCTTAAACCTCTTACATCCTTAAATTCCCCATTAAATTCTGCTTCTTAATATTTTAACCCACTTCCTCTTTCTGTCATTGTTCATATCCTAACACCGCCATCTTGCTTTGGGCTGTTGCCAAATTTCCTAACTAGTTCCTTTGTCTTCATCTCTGATCTTTATCCTGGAATTGCTGCTAGTGTGATGTCTCTCACCCCCAATAAATCATCTGTATAACAATCACCCACAACTCTCCCCTGCTCTAGGGTCAAGCCCAGGCTCCTTAGAATGGCAGCAGGAGCTCTTTGCATTTCACACTTCTAACATCTCTAACCAGTATACACTGAGTTTCTCTGTTCACTCAATCAACACACTTAATTCGACAGCAACTCCAAGCCAGCTCTATACTATCCTCATAGATACTAAGACAATCAGCTGGAAGAGTGACTGCCCAGTGGGTGGGGAACTGGGAGAGAGGAGATGGAAAATCAACATCATAGTGATACAGTCATTGGAGTCTTGTGGTTACAGACATGCAGCTAGTGTTATGAGAGGGCGAAGAGTTTGAGGATTTTCTCAAAGTTGCTAAGCTTGATTCACAAGGACGAGGCTTTGAACACCAACTACAAGTCAAGAGTCTGGGCAAGTGCATGGACATTGTCAAAAGACTTTCCTAAGCAGCTGGAATAATTCCTCCTTTTTCTTTCCTTTGTCTTTGGATCTCCTCCAGAATCTCATGAGTCTGACTCTCTGTCTTACTCATATGAAACTGGTACCCGACTAGGAGAATGAACAGTTTTGGACTGATCCGCAGCCATCTTCTGGCAGCCTCAGAACAGAAGGAGAAGTTGTGCATCCCTCTAACCCATGGATAGTTGATGCATTAGTTTGCTGGGTGAAAGTGACACATCACCTCCCTTGTATATGCTTGTGGGTACAAGACCAAGGACACCAGTCCTACTGGATTGTGGTCCACTAGAGGTTCATTACCTCTGGAAAGATCTTTTCTTCAAATAAGGGCACACTGTGAACTACTGGAAGTTACTGCTCTAACACATAATTTTGGGGAGGGGGAATAAAATTCAGCTCACAACAGGTCACTTGTTTTTTCCTCATTGCTAATTATATGGATTTCCCACAGTGTGTTTGGGTGAGAAGTTTAGAAGTTTGGACACCTTTCGGCAATTGTATGACAATGGATAACGAGGACCTGAGCTCTGCTTTGGCAAGATACAGCAACACAGAACTGTGAGTTAATTGGCCCACGAAGATGTGGGCCACAGCAGAATTGTCTCCAGTTTCTTGGGACTGCAAGTGTCCCACACGTGCACCAGTCTGCAGTGGCCAGCAAGGCAAGTAGTGAGATGAGATGTCCCACATGGGGAGTGGAGCTGTCTGATAACATCCACTCTGCATCCCCCAACACCTGACACGAGCATTCTCATGGCTCCTAGATTTCCTCAGCATCCATGAATCTCTTTTCTTTGCTCTCACTTCCTTCTGCACAGACTCTTCCTTCCCGAAAGGAAGGAAGGACTTTCCCAGCACACTCTCCCAGTGGGGTGCCCCTTCTGGTATTCACAGTCTTCATTAGCTGAACCACATGCAGCCTCTGACCGCATGCTCTGAGAGCTTCTTTGATGCCATGGAAATGACATGTGATTAGACAATAGTCAAATCTAAGGTCAAGTCCCAATGTAGTACATGGATGACCTTGGAAAAATTACCTAAAATCTTGAAATCTCCATTGTCCCTAAGACAAACTAATCAAATTAGTCAACACGGTAGCTTACTTTGAGGATTAAATGGTAAAAGCAATGCATGGAAAACAAGTTGGCATGCCTCTGGTGAAGGCTGATTTTTTTTTAAAGATTTATTTTGTTTTTATTTGAGAGACAGAGTTACAGAGAGAGAATTCGAGAGAGAGAGAGTTCCTTATCTGCTAGTTCACTTCTTAAATGACGCAGGCCAGAGCCGGGCTGGTCCAAATACTGTAACCAGGAGCTTCTTCCACCTCTGCCTTGTGGGTGCAGGGGCTCTCAGACTTGGGCCATCCTCTGCTGCTTTCCAAGCCTAGAAGGGAGCTGGATTGGAAGTGAAGCAACTGGGATTCTATGACAACAATGGAGATGTCAGTGCCATTGGTGGAGGCTTAGCTTGATATGCCATGGCACTGTCTCCAAGGCTGTGCTTAAAATGAGGGGGAATTTCAGACCGGAGTCTTCGGGGGACATAATGAACTGTACCTGAGACCAGCTCCGCAGTTAACTGCAATAGAGGAGCTTGGCCCGTGGGCTGGCAGGGCAGTGTGTGTTCAGTTTCATGGGGGTGCTGCCTAGATTTGCAGTTTCCTTCCAGTGTGCATGTCAACCCCAGGGAGCAACTCACCTGCCGTTCAGCCTTTCGGAGCCTCCTCCTTTTGTACTCAATGATGGGCTCTTTTTTCCTCCCTAGGAGTTCTGAGCATGCTCAAGAAACATGAAAGCTTTAGAGAAAATGTTTAAGTGCCTGGGTGTTGTTCCTCCATGGATCCCACAAGTGCCTTCTTGTCTGGTTGTGGCGACCCTGCCACCTTATCCAGGTGTCTTTTGATAGGATGTTGACCAATAGTGTGGATGCAGACTTTATAAAAAGGTAGTTTTTGCTCTTATTTCATTCTACTTTGCCTTGTTTTTGTTAAAATTTTATGGAGAAATAAAAACTCCTATTCACCAGGCAATGTTTTCCCCTATATGAGTTTGGATGTTACATTTCTCCAGCAGGAATCATAGATCATTTTTAGCTGACTGATTTTGAACAGGCCCTGGAATCTGTGAGGATAAACAGGAGTCAGTGAGGCGGGGCTGGCTGTGTTTGATTTAAAATTGGAAACCTGGGAGTCAGAGGCGTGCTTTATATAGCCTAGGGGGTACAGGAGGCTCCTGGTCCTGATTTATGAGGGAGCTCGGTGAAAGCACATGAAGGCCGAGGTAATATTTATAAATTCTTTCTGCAAAAGATGGATGGAATGTTCTTTGGAAACTGCAGTCAGATAGTACCTTTTTGGGGGATCTGGAAAGGTTGTTTACATCTAATAATTGGGTGGCTGAACTGAAAGGGAAACGTTTAACTGGGCTAGTGCTTCCAAGTGTGTTATAGAACACAGGATGAGAAGGAAGCTTGAACGTTGGGTCACATTCCTCTCTCGCATCCTGCACATTGGTGACGTTTGGCAGTCCTTCTTGTTGCTTGAGCCCTCTGCAGGGGCAGAGGTATTGTGGGCAATGAAGACAGGCACAGCTGCTTGCCAGGTGGCACTGGATCCTGACTCTGTTGCCTGATGGTACACGCTGCCTTGGATGTCTTCTGCCAGTTCCAGTGGATTTTGTACACATACTCTGTGAGTTTCAGACCACTAGCCAGGGCATGAGGTGCTTCCTAGGACATCCCTATTACTGCGGAGGGTGCAGTCAGAGCATGGCAGCACAAATGCTGCTCCCTCTGCGAGGAACCCAACATGCTGGGAGAGGGGCTGGACCTCGTGACTGATCAAGAGACATTCCTGATGGTCCTGCTTCTGTGCACATTTTAAAAATTGTGTCCAGGAGCATAAATATAGCAAGGGAGGAGCGTGACTCTTTGTTCCACTTTGTGATTTAGAGCTACACCTGTGCCAGAACCAATTCTCATCTGGGATCTAACCATCCAGTGCTTCCCCAAGATAACATGACAAAGCTGGCTGCTATCCCTTTTCCACCCTTGTCTTGTCCCCTGAGCTATACAGTGGGTGCAAGTGTGTTGCTAAGCTTCACAGCCTATCAGGAACTGGAAAGAAATCTTAACAGTGTATGCCAAGTGCATTTAAAACATGGTCTGTAGTCCTGCACAAGTTTGGGACAAGGCACTGTAGTTGTTACAGGATGGGGGAGGGAGGCACAGGTGGTGAGGAACTGTGTCATAGACTTGCAATCAAATCCTTGTTCTCCCATTTACTCATCAGCAGTGGGACGTTAAGCAGATTTCTGAGATTCTCTGTGCCTCCATTCCCTTATCTGTGAGAAGAAGAAAGATGAAATAGTAATCGCACCCAAGAAGGACAGGATGAAGGTTGTGTAAGGCCAGAACTGGAACCCCAGGTTGACTGATTCCAGAGCCTGTGCCCTTGGTTTACAAGGGAGGAAGTATGATGGTTGGGTTGGGGTTGGAGTGTCATGGAGAAAGGATTGATTAATTTAGGCCATTTCTGCAGAAACACAATCTTGTGTGAACCTTACAAAATACAACCTCCCTTCAGCACTAAAAGGAGCTCTGACAAGGCTTCTGACCCTTATGTGTGGCTCATATTAAGCAGGACTAATGACCTCTGAATGCTGTGTGCACCACACATGCTCGACCTGCAGTGAGCACCCCTGAGCCCATCACCGTAACTAACCATCACCAGGCAGTCCACATTGCCGCCAGATACATCGTGAAAGAAAGAGCAGCCACCAGAACTCCTTCTCCACTGTGACTGCTGCAGGTCTCTCACGAATTCCATCTGGATTTTTAGCCCTCTGTTAGCAACACATTCATTTTATTGAAAGTAAATATTCAGTATTTCCCATATCCATCCTTCTTTGATTTTGTTACACTCATCAATACAAGAATTCACTACATTTTCCAAAAAGCATAACAATGGAGATTACTGCCTGGATTTAACACAGATCATTTCAGTTGGAACCAGGAAAAAAAATAAAGACAAACAGCGAAGAAAAATGGACCATGTGCCTTGTTTATTCCCCTGCAGCTTCCCTATCCCTTCATTCAAACATCCCTCCTTCAGATGAATATGAACATGTTACAACTGACTCGTATTACTCCCAGCTTCAAACAATGAGTCACAGCGGTTTAGTGAAGACAGAGAGGAGCCAGCAAGTGCTGTGTGGACAGAAATTAATGTTTCCCAGACTGCAGCTATCAAAGTCTCCATCACATTTCCCCCTCCAACCTCCAGATGTTTCTCTCCCCCTCCCCCAAATACGACAGCAGGTGAATTTTTTTTCAGTCCAAGAGGCTCCAAGAAGCTCTAAGAATTCTGATAGGAACTGGGAGCTGCAGGGGTCCTGATGTTGAGTGTCTGTAGGGATCCTTCTCAGGGAGACATAGGATTGGCAGATGATGTCAGAGTCAGCCCAGCCTTCACTGTCCTTGGGGCTGTTGTTCAGCTCAGTAATGGGAGGATTTCATGGTTCCTTAGGCTTGAAGGTGTTCTGTGCCCTTCTAGAAGGAAGCAAGTGGAAGGTAGCGGAAAGGAGGAGATGCAGAGTGGAGAATTAACCTTGCCTGGAAAGCAACCATGCCTGGAGAAAGCTGGAGGAGCTGAGGAACAAACAGGGGTGTCTGATGTTGCTGCAGGGAGAGGGGGCCCCTGTTCAGCGTAGCATGCAGCCCCTCACACAGCCTTACTTAGACAGCAGCATATGGACAAACTCCTCGTAGTTCACCTGTCCGTCTCCATCTATGTCTGCTGACCGGATCATTTCCTCTACTTCCTCATCGCTCAGCTTCTCTCCCAGCCTGGTCATCACGTGTCTCAGCTCAGCAGCACTGACATAGCCGTTACCATCTTTGTCAAACACACGGAAGGCTTCCCGGACCTCCTCCTCACTGTGCGTGTCCTTCATCTGCCTGATCATCATGCCCAGGAACTCAGAGAAGTCCACAGTGCCACTGCCATCCCTGTCAATCTCCCTCACCATGTCCTGGAGCTTCGCCTCGGTAGGGTTCTGGCCCAGGGACCTCATGACAGTACCCAGCTCCTGGGTGGTGATGCTGCCGTCTCCATCCTTGTCAAACAGAGAGAAAGCCTCCTTGAAAGTGGCTATCTGTTCCTCAGTCAGCTGGTCAGCCATTCTGGAAAGGTGTGCGGGTAAGATGGTCGGGGCGGCAGGGCTGGGTTCTTCTTTCCGGCACTGGAAGGACAAGTGGAGGACCCAAAAGAGGTTCTGGCTGCCTGGCTTTCTAGTCCTAGGTTGAATTATCGGAGTTTAAGAAGGAGCAGGGGGCCTCCTCAGCCAGTGGCTTTGCAGGTTCGGCTGCCTTTCACAGACGCCCACGCCCCTGCGGTTGCCTGCAGGTTGGGTCCTGTTGAGACGGGATCCCAGGAATGGGAACCAGGCTACCCTGCTTACTGAGCTGACGCCAAGCCAAGCGTTCTGTGAACAGTCAACTTTCCACCCCTGGATCAGCAGGGCTGGCCAGCCTTAATCCTGTTGATCTTAATCCTGTTAATCTTGATCTTTCTTCCTGGAGTTTTCCCTTTGCCCTTCAGCTCCCTGGTCTTGTCTTCTACCTGCTCCAATCTCCCACTCTTCATTCAAAAAATGCCAACCTGCACCTTTCCTTTCCTTCAGTTGATGTGGCGTTTTTTTCCCCCTCTAGGATGAAAATCAGAAGTCGTTTTTCTTTAAAGAAACTTCCTTTCCTCATTTTTAGTTTCCAAAGCCACAAAAAGTATTCAGAGAAGGAAGTTCAGTTTGTTTGTTTTCCTTCAGGTAGAAATAGTGTCTTGTGAACAAGTCAGACAGTAAGAGATTTTTGTTCCCGTGTGAGCAAAGAACTTCAGTCAAATAGAATGAAGCAGCACACCTAACAGGTCAGGTGGGTAACTCAACAAGGCACTGGGTGCCCAGGCTGTGTGTAGACTGCGGCTCATGTGGCTGAGGGTCCGCTTGTCCCCACCATGTCTCCTCCTTCCTCACTTTGTGGATACTGCTGCACAAGTGGCTTGTCAGAAAAATATTCATAGACCTCCTCCTGAGGTGATATTAAGCAGTAGAAGGGGATCAAAGAGAGCTGAGATGCTGAGCTATCTCTTGGCTCAGAGACTCTCCTTTCGATCCCATCCCCAACAAAATTATCAGACTTGGGCAGGAATTTGAACCAGGCTGCTTCCAAGGCATGCACCTTGTCTTTCCTTTTACACACACAAGCCAGCGTCTGCCTTCCAACCTGACAAGTAGGAGAAAAATCTCCTCCAATTTATTCACTCACTCATTCATGAGTATGTGTTGAATACCTACTACGTCCGGGTACTAGCCTGGAAGCTGGGAATACAGAGGGAGGAGGGCAAACCCTTCAGTCCACATGAGGCTTGTAGTTCATTGAAAAGACAGCATGTTACTACATGAACTAACAGCGCAACTTGAGCAAGAGCGTTAGAGATTTTTGATAAGTGCGATGAAGGAAATATGAGGACATGGGGAAGTCGCTTCCCTCACACTGCAGAGAGGCACTTGATGGGGCTCCATGGGATGACATGGGAGGCATGCCATGGTAGAGGAGTGGGATGACAGCCAGTGGGGCAAGGAAGCAAGAGAGGGGAGGTGAAGGAGAGGCAGGGGAGACCTTCAGACTCCTTGATGAATTTCCTCTAAAAGCCTTCGGCAAGGGCTTATGTGAGCCCTGGGTAGATTGGAAACCTGAGCTGAAGACAGGGACATCTCCAAGAGGAGACACAGGTAGGAGGACTTGTGGATGTTCACCAGGCACAGCTACTCAGCTCCGTGCCTCCCAGAAGGCTAGGGAATGGACCTCTGTGGAGGCAGACGTTGCTTTGCTTGTAGGAATCCAATAAAAACCAAACCGGGGGGTTGGGGGGGGGAAGAAAAGCTTAATTTTTGTTGATCTTATTGCTGGCTATGTGAGAATAGGGGCCAAGGTCCTGAATGGGAAAAAATAGTATTCATAAGGATGTAGGTTTGCTGAGGAGGGGATTATAGCTGAAGATACTCATTTGTTTCCTCTCTGAATTAACACCCTACCCCTCCTTCTCCATTCAAGCAGACAGCAGCAGCTCTTGGATTCTTGCCTGGAAGGGCTTTGTGGTAGGGGAGACTGATTTGCAGGGCAGAAGTTACCTACGAGACAATTTTCTTCCTGCTGGGGGATTCCTACAAAGCCTAAGTGAGTGTTTGAGTGGAAGACAGGAGTTTTGTGCTGGAATAAACAAGAAGGTTGAAATATTTCGCCAACTATTTGGGTCTTATCCTGGAGAAGAAAGGCTTGTTAGAGAAGCACAATTCAGAGACAGGGAGACCTCAGGTAGCCTTGGGAAAGAGTCCTGCTCCGGGAGGTGCATGGAAGAAACAAGAAAGTGATGAGGAGCTGAGAGTCATTTGTGTGGCTGGCACCTCCATGACCAAAGCCTGCCCTCTCCTCCTTTCTTCCAGCCCAAGCCCTCACATTCTGACCAGCATGGGGATGGGGTGGAATGGGTGACGCCCGAAGTCTCTGAGTATTAATTTTTTTCTACTGTACCTGTAGAAAAAGATAAAAAACTTAAAAATCCTTTGATTGAGAGATAGCAAAGAGACATTATTTCTCTTGGTAGGCTGAAGCCACTCCTCTGTACAGGCTACAGCTCTGCCCATGATGAAGCTTTGGGTAAATTGCATGGGTGGGCTCCTGGTGGTTCCATCACTCATCAAGGATTCTGAAGAGATTCTTAAATCCCTGTTGTACCAAGAACTGGGCAAAGGCTGCACATGTGGCTTTTCCAAGCTCACCCAGTAAAAAGTTCAACTGGCAATGAGGGAATGTTCCCCTCCCCTTGTTATATATTATTTATTTATTTCTGCTAATCTTAGGACACAGGGATTCCCTGTTATCCACTGAAAGCGATTTTGGCTGTGCCTTGGTTCCAGATCCAAAACGGTGATCCCCAAATATTTATAAATCTCTTTTTTAAAGATTTCTTTTTATTTTTAATTGGAAACTCAGATATACAGAGAGGAAGAGAGAGAGGAAGATTTTCTGTCTGTTGATTCACTCCCCATGCAGCCGAAACGGCCAGAGAGGGGCTGATCCAAAGCCAGGAACCAGGAGCCTCTTCCAGGTCTCCCACGTGGGTGCAGGGTCACAAGAGTTTGGACCATCCTCATCTGCTTTCTCAGGTCACAAGCAGGGAGCCAGATGGGAAGTGGGACCGCCAGGATCAGAATTAGCACCCATGTGGGATCCCAGTGCATGCAAGGCGAGGACTTTAGCTGCTAGGCAATTGCGCCGGCCCAATAAATCTTTATATTTATAATCTAATATTTATAAATATTAAATCACTATTCCTCACCAACAATAAGGAGCTGGTTGTAAATACTGTCTTGATCTACTTTTCATCATTACTACTAAATGGGCTACCTATGAAGTAAGATGTGTTAGGTTTAGGATTTGGTAGGTTAACAGTTACAGAGGCTGGCTCTGTGGTATAGCAGGTAAAGCTGCCACCTGTGGTGCCAGCATCCCATGTAGGCACAATTTGGGTCCTGTCTGCTCCACTACAAATCCAGCTTCTTGTTAGTGTGCCTGGGAAAGAGGAAATGGACAGCCCAAGTGCTTGGGCTTCTGCACCCATGTGGGAAACTTGAAGAGGCTCCTGGCTCCTGGCTTCAGACTACCTCAACTCTTGCCATTGTGGCCATTTACAGAGTGAACCAGTGAATGGAAGATCTCTTTCTCGATGTGTGTGTCTTCCTCTCTTTCTGTAACATTGCCTTTCAAATAAAGAAGTAAATTTGTTTTTTTTAAAGAAGTGTTATATATAAATATTATACTTAAATTTATATATGTATTTATTTGTATATATTCAGAGGAAATGCCTGGATAATTATGTGCTAAACTCTTAATAGCAAATACTGTGGGTGGGTGTTATAATCACTAATGCTTTCAACCTTCTTGTAAATACAGTATCTTTGTACCTTAAAATTTTTGTATTGACTGTTTTGTTTTTAATATTAAAATAAAATGAATGAGTCAGAAATAATTCCCAGTGAAAATATACTCTTTACTGAATCCCCAATATTCATTCTCTTTCTTTGAAGTTAACAAGTCTGCAGATAATCTGACAGTATGTCCTCAAGGATATGAGATCAGGGTGAGCACAATTATAATTATTTACAAAAAAACAGATAATTAGTAGCCAGTGGTGTGACGGGGTGTGGCCGGGTGATATAACTCCATACCAGTGCACAGATGTGACTCCATCTTGGCTCCTTGACTAAGCTTCCAGCGTAGTTAACCGCCATTCTGTTTCTGTAAGCATGCTTGCTAGCTGACTGGCTTAAGGTGTGGTCTGAGGTTAAGTTAAAGTTGATTGGATGATTTATATTGCACATCAACCAAAAATGTGGCCTGCTGATTGGATGCTGTGAGGAAAAATCCCTGACTTGTTGTGTACCAGTGGCAGCTTTAAAATCTCTGACTTTGCGGCATGGTGGTTCTTGGTGTGGATAGACCTGCTGTTGCCAAGCTTGGTTAATAAAGACTCCTCCTTGTACCCTTTAGTTGTGTCCCACACAATCTTTCTTACTTTTTGAAATTTGGCTGCCAGCACAGCAGTCTAGTGAAAAAGAGACTGCTAAGCATTTCTTTCTTCTCCCACACTGACTGCGGGAAAGGTGTGTTGATCAAATGATAGAAGGGCAGCCCTAGGAGTCAGGAGAACTAAATGCATGCGAACATGTGGCCACCATAGTCTCCTGGGGAATCAGTCCCGTGGCTGACAGGATTTAAAAGCAGACAGAAATACAAACATTTCTCACACCTACAACAAGAAGTCAGCAAGCATTTGCCGGTTTTTGGATCACAGCTATATGGTTCAAGCATCCAGCCATCGCCTAAATACGTTTTTCAAAAAGCCACAATGTAAGAACTCACTGAGGATTTTGAACAGCCTTACTTAAGACACCATGACTCATGAGAGAGTGTCTTGTGATGGGCCAGATTGTTGCAATTTATTGGTTGGGAAACTGTGGCAAAAGGAATGTTTCTAGTTCATGGTGCTCCCTGCACTCCCTGCAGCTTGCCCCATACCTGCTTTCTGCACAGAACTCCTACCTTTTTGTTTTTTTAATCTTAGGATCTGTTTAACTGTTTAAGGTTACTGTAGACAGCAACAAACTTGTGTCTATGCAGAATATACAAAGGGTATGATTCATGGAAAACGTGTTACGAAAGAACTATGCATGGATCTAAAACTTATTTTGCACCAAAAGAACTTTTTAGTCTCATGTCCATGAATTTCCAAAGTACTCTCATATATATTAATGTGTACTGTATTTAAGAGAAAATTTTATATGTTTGCTTGTATTTTGTGTAGTTTTAA